TTCTTTCTGCCTTGATTTCTCCCATTTGTGCTCAGCTGCCAATAATTGAATCACCCGAGGTAATGCTCGTCTTGCTGCATCGGTGTCGAGGAAAGCAAGGCGAGATCTCCTTGCAATGAAATCAATGGCTGATTCACAGTATTCATGACGGGCACAGTAAGCTACCTCAGCCTCCAAAAATGGGTAGCCATGGGCAAGCCGCTTGCCCAAATTTTCATTCTACACACAACATAATGTATAATTAATATAAACCTTTCCGTGGATGAAATTAAAACATAAGCACATTGTTCCTATAGAAAAATAATCACCACTTATAACCCATGCATAGGTTTTCTGTTGATTTTTCAAACTAGACATGTTTTAAGTAATGTATAGAAGCTAACCTGAGCAATGGCGGCCACGCGTTCACCCAACGTTCCATATGCATGAGACAAGTGTTTTGCTGATGCAGTGTCCATTACCCCAGGAACAACTTTTCCCTCATGTGTTAGTTTCATGCGTACATACTGTTGTGTGAGAACTGTAAAAGATGCAGGATCCCACCCTTCACCACCAAGAATCCTAAGGTTGTTGGTCACACATCCACCCGCGGGGGTCAGTTTCCCAGCCTTTATAGCTGCATCAACAGCATCTTCAGCCATGCTGAAACACAAGGTAATATTCAGAATGGTTTTTATGTGTAGTAGGAATATAGCATGCTGGAATGGAACAATGAAATGGAAAAACTCTAATGAATGAAGCAGGAAAGTAAATATTTCTGGATTAACATTATGGTTGGTGGTATTATAAAATAATATGCCTAGCTGGAGAAACATTGGGACTAACTCCGACAACCTTCAGCTTGCGAATGATTACCTGCGATAGGTGGTCCATTTTCCACCAGTAATGGTGACCAGACCAGGGTGCTCTTCAAAGACAACATGATCCCTGGAGATGCTTTCAGTATTTTTAGCTGATGGGTCTGTTGCTAATGGTCGGATGCCACTCCAAGCAGAAAGAACATCAGAGCGTCGGACCTAAATTTTCCGAGCATTATTTTGTTCTTAATAAAAAACCATGAAGGGAGAAAAGTATAAAGTAAAAGGACATCTAGATTGAGTGACGGCTCACACAGATTATTTTTCTTGGACTTAATTATGTATTTACAAGGACAGGCCCAGTTAAATGAAAAATAAGGGCAGTGAGAGAGGGGTGTTCCTACAAGTTGAAAGATAGAACAAAAGAGCAACAGAGCTAACAGATATATGATGCAGAATACTATCATGAGTTTGGCCTAAGATTATACACAATTATTTCCACACAAGTAATAACCAGGGGATTGTTTTATTTCTGCATTTTTTTCTGCAACTAACATTTGAAAGAAAAAGAAGAATAGTGGATTAAAAGTTTCCTTTATTAGAAGCTATATCTTACCTTAACATTAAGGTAGTCAGATATGGCGTCCAATATAAACTGTATTTCATCTTCGTGTGGTTCTGGAAGAAAAGTAATGGCAGTGTTGGAATCTGTAGTTCCAGCAACAGTTCTTCCCAGCCAAGGCAGCATAAAAACAACACGCCCATCTTTAGTTTTAGGAACAATTAAGCCCATACCCTCTGGAGAATAATAATCAGGGAGTATAATGTGTACACCGCTGCTTGGACAAATCACATCTCGTACATTTTTGTCAGCCATTTTCCTCACTGAATCACAATACGGACCAGCTGCATTCACAATTACTTTTGCGTATGTATCAAACTCTTTGCCTGCATCATGCAAAGTAATAAATAAAAGAAATTAACAAGGGAACTGTTGAAACATGCTAGCAAGGAAACTGTATTCATATACTCAGTCCACAACCGAATCGTCACTCAATTCACATGTAACAGAGTTGCTAATTTCCTTATGAAACTAAGTAACTGCTGCTGAGTATTGGAACAAACCTTGTGAATAATAATAAGTGTGCTAAAAAATAATTCTTCTGATTGTGTGTTTTCCATACATTGTCTAGTCTCTTAGTCAATCAGATATAAAGCTCAATCTTATGCTATAAAGCTGATCCAAGAACGGGTCTGACTCATTGTGGGTCCGTCACACAATAACAACTTCAATCTCCACACCCTGACTCCCCTAGAGCATCCGGAAGAGCTTTTGTGGAGCTTAAATGACCTTATCTTAGATATGCGTATGAAAATCAACTGTCATAAGCTCTTATAAACACACTCTCATGTCATAAGTGATTATTGAATAAGGTTTTAATTATATTTTCTATCCAAACGTGTACTCGGTCAGATATGCTATGAGCAAAAAAGTGAAAAATGTATTACACAATAGAGGACAATGGTAACAAATAAAAATAAAAGGTATTACCAGTTAAATTGTCTCTAATTCGTGCACCAATTATCCGTTCACCAACACTATCCTTCAATAGGGATACAACTTCAGCATGGTTCAACACTGCTGCACCAGCCAATGCAGCTGTGCAAGCCAATCCAACATTAAGTCGTGCATCATTCATCTGGCCATCGTAATAAACAACTGTGCCCCTGAGGCTTCTACCATTTCCCTCCGTTGCCAAAGTGGGAAAAAGCTCAACGGACTCTTTTGTAGAATAATATCTTGATAAATGCAAAAGTCGTGCTCCTGCTACCAGATCGTACATTTTCAAGCCCGTCCAGTAGTACACTACTTCAAACCAGTCAAAACATGGCGTCATGCAAGGTAAAGCATTGCATAGGTGTGGTGCATTGTCAATAACCTGTTTACGCTCCTCAAGAGCATGGAATACTAACTTGAGTTGGCCATAGTCAAGTTTAAAGACAGCTTTCTCCAAGTAACGAACACCTAAGACCAAAAACCAAAATATTTATATCAACAAGTACAGAAGTACTTACTGCTAACAAAAAACAGGATGTAAAACAACACATAAAGTGACCATAACAATTCCCAATAGCAATGAAAATCTTATTCTCTGAGTGGTCAGTCAATACCTACACTCAACAGTCTCAGGAAGAAGATTGGTTTTTATTAATCTTATTTTGACTTATGTCCAAGGAAACTTTGTAAACCTCAAGTTATTGAAACAGCATACCTTTAATTTCTTCTTGTAAATTTAAAATCTGAAAAGTATGCTACAGTTAGTTATGGTTTAGTTATAGTTTGAAGTTTAGTTAATGTCATTGTCTATCATTTCAAAAGTCGCATCAATATTAATCATGCAAACAAATTGTTTTCCCCAACAAGATTTCCATAATTTTTCCTTCATCAAATGTGAGATTGATAGAGTTAGTTTTTATCCAAACCAATATAATAGCAATTAAAGGGACATATATAACAATAAAAAGAATAAGAATATAGATATAAATACAAATATTAAAATAATTGTTGACGCATCAATCATTTTTGCATCTTTTCCCTTGTTTTTGCTCACATGATTACTTCATTTTTCCCTCCAAAGAAGCTTATCCTTGATGGTGCTTTGATTACCAAGCTTTATGGCAGTCTGTGAAACAGAGTATTTTGTGGAGAAATCGTGTTGTACACTGATAGAAGCGAACCAGAATTGATATAAAGTGACGGAATGTTTATCAATAGAGCCCAAAATCCCATGATTGGTATCAGGTAATATTGAAAAAAGACATAGAATAGACTATAACCTCTCCCACCGGTATTTGAGAGACCTTGGTTCTCCCTACATTCCACTCCCAAGTGTAAAACTGATCATTTATTTTTTTTCCAAGTGTTTATACCTCCTCGTACTCATATTCCCCTTTCTGATTAACTTAATGTTCCAACTAACTTACAAGTGACGCCCCCCCACACACAAAAAAAAGTTTCACACGTGAAATTCAAAAAAATTCTTTCTACCATGATCCTGAAGCAATCTATCACTTTTTCCCTGATCACTAGAATTTGTTTTTCTTGTATATATGATCCGGAATATATTTCTTATCAAGCCTATGTCATGAAACACATTTGTTACTTGACTTTTTCCTTTAATTCTGCATCCAAGGGTCTTCTGAACCATGCCTCTTTTCCTTGGCTTCAAAAATCCATCAGGTCTTCTGGTTTCAAAATCTATCATTGAGTTGCCTCCTTGTAGGTTTCTACTTTCTACTATCCAGGCAGTATAACCCACATGCTCCAACACCATTAACGAGTGCAGTATAGCTCTTGCCAAGTTATTTGATAATAAAAACAATCTATCTTGTCCTTGTCTTTCACTAAAATGTAAGATTCATTGTGTCATGTCATGAACTAACTATCCTAAAAGCTTGAACTGTTACATGGAAACATGAATAATTTATGCATTACATTTCTAAAAAAACGCTCTCACACAAGATCCATAATCAGCACATTGGATGATAAACACACTCTATCTTCTCCTTCTCTTTCTCTAGATAAAAGACACGACCTTGGACTTGAATCACTCCATAGGACAAAACCATAACCACAGTAACAATGTAACACTAATAATTTAGTTCAAAAAACCAGCCTTAGCTACAACCTTTACTAATCATATCATAACTAAAGCCATAACTATGAGCTTTGATTTGCAAATTCTCCTAATCTACCTAACCAATTTTATTAGCAACAAAACAATAAAAGTAATGATGATGATGATGATGACACATATTGCTAAGAAAAAGAAAACGTGTACCTCCATGTATGAGCTTTGTGGAGCGAGAAGAAGTTCCAGAAGAGAAATCCTCTCTTTCAACGAGGCCAACACGGAGTCCACGTGTGGCAGCGTCAAGGGCAACGCCGGAACCGGTGGCTCCGCCGCCAATTACGAGAATGTCGAGAGGATTAGCGGAGCTGGAGCCGATGAGTGACGACTGCTGAACTTGTCTGGATGGGAGGACGGCGGCAGGGTCGTGGATCTTGTGTTGGAAGGCAGAAAGCTGGGATCCATGATCGTTGGATGATAAGGGAGGAGAGAGGAGGATTGCACCGCCGTAAGCGGTGGCTGCGACAGCTCCGAGAGCGGTGCCAAGTTTCCTGAAGCGAGTCATGGAGATCTATGAAGACATGCAGAAAGAGAAATGTGGGCCTTGTTTCTCGGCGATGACCAACAAGTCAAGCAGATTGACTAATTTCCACACTTGGAATACACGTTTTGCGGCTCCATCCTCCAAACAAGGCTTCCGGGATAAATTAAAGGGATTGCTATCTTTGAACAAATCAGAATGTTTATTTTCGAAAATTAAGATGTTTGAGAAACTAGAAACACATATAGAAAATGATCTTACAAATTGATCAGAACCTGCAAGGTGGTCGGATGACGATTTTATGTCGGGTTGAAAAATTGAGGAGAAAAAATGGGAGTTGTACCTGCAAGACACTTCGGCGATCAAGTAAGTGTGGGAGTAAAAGAGATACAAACAAAGTATTAGGGTTTTAGTGATTGATCTTACCTGATCAGACTTGGACCGTCACGACTGGCTCTGGGCAGAATTTGAGTGAGATGGGGGTACCTACAAGGCACTCCGATGCTAAAATGAGTGACGGAATGAGCAGGCAAAAGTGTATGTATGCGTAAGAGATGAATATCTGACCCTCTAGGAACAGAGGGTATTTATAGCCCCCAGTGCGGGGCCAAGGTCCCCTCATTGGGCCGACCAGATTTGGCCCAACAAAGGAACTGCCAAGTTCTACGTGTGTAATGGGGACCCGCACGTGGCCCCCTTCCTGGTGATGCTCTCCGAGAAATGAGGAGGGACGAAGACGCGGTCTTTCCGGAGTTCAGATGATTTGGTAACAGTCAGAATCTACCCTACGAGGAGGGTGCTCGAGCTGGGCTCGAGCTAGAGTTCCCGTGGTCGAGGACACCATGTGTTGCAGGCACGGTTGTGGTCTGTGTCGGGCGCGCTGGCGGGAATCTGCGGGTGCGCGTCCCTCAAGGAGCTGCTTGGATTGGGCCTTTGTCTTTGCTTTTGGGCCAGGACAGGCCCAGTCCAAAACATGAGCCCCCCAAGTCGTGGCTTCTGGAGCTGGAGCTATGACTTGACTTCAGCTCGCTTTTGCCACAGGGTCCGGTGCCCGGCCCAGGCCATTTGCTTCCTCGTGATTGCTCGAGAGGTTTCTCATGAGTTGTATTCGTGGGGTAATCCTCGTCGACGCGTGCTCGGGGGATTCCTCGCGAGCTGTGTTCGTTGGGCACACGAGGCAACCCTTGGGAACCGTGACGCCACCCTAGCGATAGTAGGGTCATCATTGCTTAGGGGAGTAGGCGTCGAGGAGGGGAGTTCGTGGTTCCCCGGGGCGACGTTTCGTATTCCACGTCATCCATATAAATAGGATTCTTGGGTCCCATAATTTGTTTTTCCTCTTCGCGCTTCTCCTTCTTCCTCTGCCTTTGCCGTCGTTGTTCTTCTCCAACTTCGCAAGATTACCGCCTCTTCCTCCGTTGATTTCTTTCACTGTTGCCGTACATTCTTCTTTACTTCCAAGTAAGCGTTTATCCCTCCTATTTTTCTTCGTTTGTAGGTAATTTTACCGTTATTTGGATGTTAGAAGCCCACATCTGGGATTAGTGCCCGGTACATTCATGTATGTGCCCGGTACCTTCATGTTTGTGCCCGGTAAACTCATAGCTTTAGGTATTTGACTCGCGATGCTGCCCGGGACCTTCATGGTTTTGGGCGCATAATCTATGATACTGCTTGGTAAATCCATAGTTCTAAGTTTAGGACTCATGATATTGCTCGTCAAATTCATAGTTTAGGTCGGCGCACCCATGAGCTGGCCGAGATGTTGACCCCTTAGGAAGTATGTAGAACAACTCGTCGTGGCACCTTAGAGTCGGGGAGGCGAAACCAGGATCTTGTTCGAGTCCTCAATGTTTTATCGCACGCGGAGTGTGTCTTGGCTTGTCGTGCACTACTTCCCGTCAGTTATGGCGAGCATATGGATTTGCTCTTGAATTTCACCGGTTTCCTGTGCTTTGCAGGTAAATGGCTGACGAGCCGGAGTCTTTGGGGCGTAATGAGGTCGAGGACCAGAGCGCCGAGGAGAATGTAACTCTTGTTGATACCGTCGATGATCCTTCGTTGGATTGGGTGGGCGCCGAGCCCCGAGGGATTGCCGCGGCATATAGTCGGCGTAGTCGGCGCGCATACACTGTCGTCAAACACGGTGGTAGTCAGTCGGGCTTCTAGAAGAACTTTGTTGTCACAAGGCCGTCCCTCGACGCGCGAATCTGCTCGGAGTTCTCCGAGTATGGGTTTCCAATGTATGAAATCGCGTTCAAGGACCTCGGCCTTAAGCTCCCTTTCAGTGATTTCTAGGTTGGGGTATTTTGCCATCTGGACTTGGCCCCCTCGCAGCTTCACCCTAATTCGATCGCCTTTCTTCGGGCGTTCGAGCTGACATATCGCTTCTTAAGGATCGGGGCGACCATTCCTCTCTTCTTCAGAGTTTTTCACCTGCAACGCCAGTCTCGAGGAGGCAAGCATAGTTGGGTTTCTCTGAAACAGTCGAAGAGGCTGTTCAGGATGTACATGGATTCAGTCCGGGGTTTCAAGGACAAATGGTATATCCTGCAGCCGGTCACCCAGACTGCTTTGGATTCTATGTATGAAGAGGAAACCGCAGTAGCCGACGAGAACGGGGAGCCTCTTATGGACAATGAGGGTCGCCCGGTGGTGGGGCGTGTATCCAAGTTCCCGTTGCATTGGTGCTCGCGCCATTACGAGCATGGTACGGGGCACTACCATACGCCCGCGGGAGGAATGAGTGTCGAGGATGAGGAAGCCTATGGTACCCTTTGTAAGTATGACGACAGCGTCTTCCCTGCCCGGTGGGTCACGAGGGAGGGGGAAACGAGGAGGGTTACCCGACTTTCGAGGCCTGTCCTATCGATACCAAGGCGCTTGTCGAGTGTCAATCCTACGGGCAGGCCGTAGATCTACTAGGTTACTTTTTGTCTTATAGTTTTGTTCTAGTTTCTTTGTTTGTTACTTGCTCGTAACTAACCCGAGCTTTTCTTCTTTGCAGGCAATATGGCCGAACGAAGGGATAGGCTTTTAAAGTTGTCTCAGGACAAGAGAGTAAACAGAAGGTTGGTGCGAGCTCCACAGGCCACGAGGATGGGCCTGCCAACCAGTTCAGGCGATGCTTCCAGCGGGTCCCAGGGTTCCCCTGACGTCGAGCAGCCCCCCGAGCTGATAACGAGAAAGAGAAGTCGGGCAGAGAACCAGTCAGAAGTCGGCGACGAGTCTGTCGCGGTGAGGGCCTTTGGCTTTCCCCCCTGTTTTAAAGAGGAAGGTTTCTTCGAGGGGTTTCCCTTGACAGTAAGTGCCGAGGAGGCTGAGACCATCAGGCGGCTCAACAAGGAGAGTCAGAGAAAACACCTGGCCGCCAGTATGGTCGGGATGGTTAAGATGGCCGAGATGGCCGTTGTCCTTGCTGAGGAGGGGTCGGACTCCTCTGACCGCGTCAGGGAACTGGAGTTGGAGAAAGTTGCCCTCGCCGCCGACTCTCGTAAGTTGAAGGCTGCTCTGGAGCGATCTGAGGAGATGTTCCGCGAGCAAGCCGAGCTGCTGGCCATGGAGAAGGAAAACTCGGGGAAGGTTGCTGAGGAGAGGGACTGTTTTCGATTGGACCGAGAACGCTTGGAGGCCGACAACGAGCATCTGTCTAAGGAAGTCGAGGATCTGAAGGCCTCCATACTTCCTGCTGAAGATGAGTCGGAGGAGACAGCCCCCTTGCGGAGTCGTTCGGATCTGGTCGCGCGCATCCATATCCTCGAAACGGACTGTGTTGGTGCCTTAGCAGACGGTTTTGAGGTCGCGGTTAGCCAGCTCACTTTATTGAATCCGGACATGAATACCGAGGGAGTGGGTTTCATGTCCCAGATCATCGACGGCCAGGTCGTGCCTCCTCCTGAGTCTCTTGTCGTGGATGCTGGTAGCCCCGGGGAAGTCTAGTCGTGGAATTCTGGTCGGGCCTGCGCGCCCATTTATGGGTAGTTGTTTTGGGGCCTGCGTGCCCGTGCATATTTTTGGGGCCTGCGTGCCCGTACAAATTTCTTTCGGCCGTCGTGCCATAGCCTGTAATTTCTGAACATCGCCGGCCTTCTTGGTCGGTTTATTTTTATTTGTTTTTTGCTTATGAGCTTTTAAATGGATGTTTATTTCGACCTTTAAATTTGCTCGCGTCTAAGTTTTTATATTATGATGAAATTTGCCTAAGTTATATCCTCGAGTCACGCTTGTGCTCGGCTGTTACTTTGTGGCGAAATTTGCCTAAGTTACGTCCTCGAGTCACGCTTGTGCTCGGCTGTTACTTTGTGGCGAAATTTGCCTAAGTTATATCCTCGAGTGGAGATTCTTTCGACCCATTTGGTGCTCCGACGTACTTCGAAATGCGTCGGTCGTGCGGAGTAAAGCCGCTTGCTCGGGCGTATAACCCAGATCGGGGTCGCTTACCCGTGGCGTGAACTGCCCATTGCGAGCTGGGTGTTCTGCCATGTGGGTACTTCGACAATGGAGCTCGATTGAGATGTCCCTGTCGGGCACCATCGTTCGTGCTCGTTTGGATGAACGGCGTTATGTCGTTTGGGCGTAGATTGGGCCCGTACCTTGGCCTATCTACGTGGTCGAGACATTTCTCTCAGTTGACTGGATGTGGATGTTCAACAACGAGAGTCCTTAGTGTTAAGGGTTTTTTAACTATAGTACTGCTTTAGTTTAGCAGCGTTCCAGGGTCGTGGCAGTGGTTCTCCGTCTAGCTGCTTTAGGTAGTATGCCCTGGTGCCTGTGGCGTCGTGGACGCGGTAAGGCCCTTCCCAGTTCGCGGCCAATTTCCCTTCGCGGGAGTCTTTCTGGTTTCTTCGTAGTATCAGGCTGCCGATCTCGAACTCACGTTTGATGACCTTGTCGTTGTGACGCAGGGCCACTCGTTGTTTTAGAGTGGCCTCGCGCAGGGCTGCTCCCGAACGAATTTCCTTGACTAAGTCGAGTTCGTCCCTGAGTGCTTCGTTGTTCATTTCTTCATCGAGGGGAGTTTCTGTCCGCCTGGAGGGTTCCCTGATTTCTACTGGGATGACGGCTTCAGTGCCGTATGTTAGTCGAAAGGGGGTCTCGCCCGTCGTTGAATGGGGCGTGGTGCGATACACCCATAAGATGCTGTGCAGCTCCTCGACCCAGCCTCTTTTAGCTTCGCTGAGTCGGCGTTTGAGTCCTCAGAGGATGACTTTGTTAGGGGCCTCGGCTTGCCCGTTGGTTTGAGGGTGCTCGACCGAGGTGAAGTGTTGTTTGGTTCCCAGTTTGGTGACGAAGTTTTGGAATCCGTGGTCGGTGAACTGGGTGCCGTTGTCGGTGACTAGTGCTCTCGG